TATATATATATATATATATATATATATATATATATACATGAATATATTTTTGGAGCTCTCCTTGAAAGTGTCTGAGTCGCATGAACAAGAAGTTTTATTGATCTTGAATGGCGCCCAACTCATTGTCCTAATTCTTGCTCTGTAATATGATATAAAACAAAGAAGATTTGTCACAAAATATTATTAAGAAAAAAAAAATACAAGCATAACATAGCTCTTCGAGCTCCTAATTGCTCAAACATATCTCGCTCATTTAGGAAACTTCATGCATAGAATTGTGCATGGAATGTTCTTATGATTGCCACATTAGTTATTTTGAACTAATCTCTATCAAAGATATAGACAATTTAAAAACAACATCACCCTTTAACCCAACAGTAGAAAGCAACCGTACCCGCCAAGCACACCCCCATCAAAGATAGAAACTTATAAAGAAGCATATCTTTCTTTAATAACGGCTTGGGAAAGTTGATGTCGCAACCACTAGCTTAATATTAACTACAAATTCAATGGAAATGGCTTCCTATGATTTTTTTCCATTATTCATCAGGCCACACTCAATACAAAAGGCAAAGCAACTATCACTATTTCATGCTATTAATATCGTGAAGTTTGGTAATATCTATTGAGCTCGGTGCTCGACCATTTATATGTAAGTGTTTTTTATATAGTGTCTATTGTAGAACTAGTAAGGAGTTACAAGAGTCATTAATTGTTTTTTATCTGTTGGTTAGTAGTTGTACATTGCAGGTTTACTTAAATTATTTAATGTTCAACATTAATCTTCGGCCTTCATCAATTGCCACAATCTTCAAACTATGTCAGAAGGCCAATCTTCTAGTCAAATTTATTGTGATTTAATGTCAGATTATTAATTGCCAAGTCAGTAGGAAACCAATTTTTTAAATCAAGAAAAAATCTCATCAAATGATTTTCAAATTAACATGATGATATTATGCTCTCTTTGTTAAAATCATCACTAAAAAAATGAGCAGCTTTCGGCATTAATGCATCAGTGGATAAATGAGCCTTGTCTTTTGCTAAATAAAATTTCTTATTCCCCCTCACATGAGGTTCACTTCTGCTATTCCTGGATAGCTGGTAGGAAGAACAATTGATTGCTACATAAGGCAAAGGCTTTTCTGGATTCACATTGTTGGAATTAAACCGTTCTTGATGCTTAGTCTAAATGTTTTCTTAACAACGATGCTTAGATTAGAACAAAAATAAACATAGCTTGAAGTTATGGCAACTTAGTAACCATTACATAAAGCTTAAGCACAAAGGAGGGGGTGGTAGCTTACTCGATGGGAAGTTGAATTTCAGCGATTCCGGTTGTCCATTGCGTAGAACTTTCCTCTGAATTCCTTTTTCTCACCTGAAATGAGTGCAGCGGCAACAATTCACTTCTAATTCAAGCTATCTAGAGGTCATAGCAGCTAATAGATTGCAGAACACGCAACTTCTCCAATTTCACAAAAAATTAAAATAAAAAAGAAAAAAAGAAAAAAGAAACTCGCCTTTAGATGTTCTGGTATGGCATATAGCTCGTCCATGGGATTTTTATCCTCTTTCTCAGAAGAATCAATCTTCTTGCCCCTTCTCTTCGCAAGCTCTTGATCAACATACTTTAGCCTTCGCATTAAACAGCAGTAAGCATGCCTTACTCTCATAAATGAATAGAATTAGACATGAAATTATGCATCAGTACATGTTCGGATCCTCAACAATAACGGCGGTTTCCTGTGCAAAAGTATCCTGCAGGACAAGGTCTTCCTTCTCCCCATCACCCTCGGCCTTGTCTCCGGAGCGAATGAGGCCGCTGGTTCCAGATTGCAAGCCGAAATGCCAGTCTTCCTCTCCCGCAGCTTTTGGAGGAACTTTACCTCCTCCAACGCCATCCTAGCAGTTCATAATCCTCTTCAATAATCAAAAAGCAGTAGAACAAAAAGCTTTTAGAGAAACCCTACTCTTTCTTTCTAGTTATTGTCCTACCTACGCTCCTCTTCATTTTCGGATTCCACGCCAACGTCGTCTTGTTCGTGTATTCTCTTCCTGAAGTTCTTCGCAGGCATCGCCGCTGCTCTTCCAACTCCGGCGATTTCCTGTTTCGCCTCGTCGGCGGGGCGTCGGCGCCTCCCAAGTGGCTACGTTTCAAATGAGCTGAATAAGAATAATTGTCCTGCGCTCCACAAACAAACATGCCAAATATAAATAATATTTATTCGTTAATATTTCGTTCATTTTGGCTCCAAATAGTATACTATTATTTTAATTACTTTAATTGAATATGTAAATCTACAAAGTTTTATAATTAATTAAAACTATTAATTAAAAAATAGAATAAGTGTATATTAAATTATATTTAAATGAATATATTAATATAAATAATAATATTTAAATCTTACCCCCACGCATAGTTTTCTATGGCTGCTTGACTAGGATTGTCAAAACAGTTTATTGTTTGCGAGCAGCTTCTATTCGGCTCGCCAAACAAACGAGCCGAACATGAATAATTTTTTTGAACTCAATATATAAAGGAGTTGAATACTAACAGTGTTATTTCTTAATGAACCAAACACAAATCGAGTCAGGGCTCACTCAAACTTTGCTCTTTTTACGCACTTACAAGCGGCCGTGAAATTTGGGAGATGCCGATCAACAATAAATTAGAATAAATAAAATCCATTGAGAGCAGTCACCCGATTTTCATTTTATTTACCTTCATAACTAATGTAACACTTGTGTTAGTGACCTCAACAGTCGCTTCTTTGATATCAACATTAATAAATACATCAACAATAGCTCCATCGTTGACATTGACACACAAGTGGTTCACCCAAGCGTACGTGGCGTACCAGTAATATATATAATTGATTTTCGTGTGTCTATCCCATAGGGTACAAGATGAATCCAAGTTCGCAAAAGTTCTAGTTTACTAATGTTAGTCATAATCTATCCTAAAATGTTTAATTTGAAATTAACAATTTTAGAAGTTCTTATTTTTAATTATTTAATAATTTTAGATTTGAATGTTCATGTGCTCCCTAAATTACTCTTATCATGATGCTAAGCATATAAGCTTTAGAAATTGTTGATCTCTTAAATAGCATTATATATATATAGTTGCATAATGCTTAGATGTAATTATCATCTTAGTGTTGCACGAGAATTCAACGCACATAGATAAAAGAAGAGAAGTGAGCAGGAGGAAATATCTCGACTTTTTACGTGGAAAACCCTTAAAAGGGGAAGAAACACGGGGCTAGCCCAGTTGAAATAATTCATTATGAATGATAAGTACACATGTTCAATCTTCCCCAAAATTAGAGAAAATAGAATTACAAAGTTGCATAACTATAATCTGGCTGCAGTTCTTGGTGACAACAAATTGCAAGGGTCATTGTTGATTGTTGTGGAGGTAGTAGTCCGTTGTGAGTATTGTAGATGGTTTCTCCATAAGTGTTGATTGGCCAGAGAAGTTATAGTGAGCAGTTGCAGGAACTCTGAATCACGTAGACTGTAGTTGGCGGGTATTAATGACTTTCGTAGGCCGCAGAGGTCGAAGACTGGAACTACATGAGCTGATGACCATGTAGGTCGTTGTTGGCATATGGACTGTAGTGGTAAGCAGTAGTGACGTCCATAGATCGTTGGGACTAGAGTCAGGAGCTGCATGAGCTGATGATCATGTTGGTTGTAGTTGGCACAAAGACTGTAGTGACGAGCTATTGTCCCACATATGGGAGATTGTTACTAGATTTTTCAAGTTACGACATTGATTGATGGCATTTGGTAGGCAGTGGTTGACGACGATTGGCGGTGATCGACGACGGACTACGGTAGGTGATGGTTGACGACGATTAGTGGCGGTCGACGGCGATCGGCAGTGCTTGATGACGATTGGCGGTGGTGCTGGACTTCAGCTCCTTCTCAAAGCCTCAAGTTCTCTCCCAAGACTTTTCCCTCCCTTCATGAGAGGGGTAGAGATCTATTTATAGTGTTCTGGGTGTTATTAATGCAGGAATATGAACAATTTTGGATGACTTTTTATCTATATTTGAACATTTCTTGCTCAAAATATTATCTCGAGATTCAGGTCGGATGATGAAAATTTGTTGTTTTTAATGACTAACTAAAGAATAAATGTGAAATAGTTTTTGTATTTTGTTAAAATTGATGATATAATAAAATATAATTGATGAAATAATTTTTTTTAATAATACATTTGAAATTATTTTTTGTTAAAGTAAGATATGTGGTCAGTGAGGAAGCGCCAAAATATTACATCAGGACTCATAACGTAGAGCTATGTTCAGAGTCCACTCATATGCAGACACGTAGAGGTGACAGAAAAAAAAAATCATTTTAGCGCAAGGGAATATTCCTCCCGTGTTATTCCATATTATTCAGGTGTTATTGTGGTGGTTATCATGTGTTATTGTGTTCTGGGAATATTCCTGGTATTATAATAACACAATAACATATCAATACCACCACAATAATACCTGACTAAAACAGAATAACACAGGAGGAATATTCTCCTGTGTTATCGGTCATAATCACAGGAAAACACGCTCGTTTTCTTGAAGCCACGTGTCTGCATATGAGTGAACTCCAAATGTAACTCTACGTTAGGAGTACTAATGTAATATTTTTTTTTTTCCGCGAAGAAGCCCCTCAAACAAATATACAAAAGACAATCTTTAATTATAATTCTGTCAATAGTATTTCTTAAATATATTTTTTTGTAATAATAAATGTACGAGAACATTATTTGTGTTTTACTAAAAAGTTTTAACAAATAAATCTCGAATATTCCGTGAGCCACAACTATTACCCCGCGACAAGGAGATAAATATTCTGAAATTCATACTAGATGAGCATATATATATATATATATATATATATATATTAGTTTTCACACGCTAGTTAGCATGTAATTTGTGTCAAGTTTCTTGTGAGCATATTGATTACGTACTTTGCTAGTGCATTCATCAGTCTTTAGAGGATTATTTTCATGCATGTAATTTAATTTCTTTTATTGAAAAAAAATGTCTATAATTGTGGACTTAGCCATACCAGCAGCATTCTAGAACAAGCAAACGTGGAAGTCTAGAAGCCGGCTCCTAATTTCTTCGCCGTATTTCCTCGATCATTAGTTGGTTTGTTTTTTTTTCTTTCTTTAAGCGATTGTATCCGCAATAGAGCTTGTATTACAAAAATACCATTTTATATTGAAAGAGTTGCACACAAAGACACATATACAACACACACGTGCGTCTGTGTTAGATATGTAAAAAAAAAAGGGATTGGGTGGTATATGTAAATGTCCCTTTTGCGTAATCTTTAAACTGATATTATATTTGTTCTTTATGGTAAGTAGGATGAGACACAATTCGATGTAAGATCTTATATGGGTGCAATATAAGTAGGGAAACATGAGATGATGGAGAGGATAAAGATGGATCATCCCCCTTGGTAAAATGCCTCAAATTATTTAGTAGAAGTGAGAGAGTGAGAGAGCCACGGAATAGGGTGTTTTTTCTTCTTGGCTCCCACACACAAGGGAGGTCATTCTCTGTCAGATGTTGAAGAATGTGTGTTTCTACGTGACCAATCCTCCGTTGGTTTTTTTATGTGGGAAGGCTTTAATGAGGATATGATCTTTCCCTTGTGCATAATCCAATGTTGGTGATGTGATGGTTAGTTATCTTTTGTCTCGGGTGATGGGATGTTTGAGAAACTAACAAATACATTTATGGTTGATTAGATGTTATCTCCGGTTGTATCGAACCAATTCAGACCATCGGAGGCAATCAGACAACTTAAGTGAGTGAGCCTGGTAGAAAACACTTTGGTAAGTGGACTCGGTTCAACTTGTTCGGATGATCGAAGCTTTGGTTTCTTTGATAAGTGGGTCATGTACCGTAATTCAATATTTATTTATGCAATATTATTTTTTGTGATTTATTATAAACAAAAATGCATGCGAAATCAATATTATTATTATTTGATATTGTTTGTGAAAAAGATTTGAACATTTTTTAATGATTTTAATGTTTATGAAAGACTTTACTAAGTTCTTTGAGAGAGGAAAAGATAATGAAAGATAAAATAGAAGTATATAAGAGATTTTTGTGGAATGGAGCTTTGATCATAAGTATATGAAAAGATTTGGTGTAACTGATCTGCAACGAATAAGTCGAACAATCAACTATCTAACGTGCTTGAATTTTTTTCGAGTTATATGTTGAGTGTAAGTATGTTTGATAATTTTTTTATTGTAGGCCTTAACTAGCTTAATAAATACTATAAATGAGTGACAGAATTTTATGGGTGAATTAACAGATTTGGCAAGTATGTGAGTACATTGTTAATTCTATAAATATTTAGAAAAGCACTAAGGACCAAATAGATTCAATCTCCTTGGCAGCATGGAGCTAAGTGAGTGCTTAGTTGATTTATGATTGACAACTTGCTAAATTGGGTTCATACTCTTATGGTGAATTGATCATCCTAATCTAGATGAATTTGATTATATATTAGTTTCATGATTCTTATTACTTTTGAGAAGTTGAACAACATATGAGAACATATTTGGAAACCCAACTAGACCCAAATAATCTTGTTTATTGAATCTATGTGATGCATTGATATCGACAATTAGAATATGCCTCATCATTCTAACTTTCTAAAATTGAGATTTGGCCTTTAATACAAAGTCATCCGTCATATATTCTTCGGGCATTCATTGATTGCGCTATTTTTCATTTAATTCTTATGTTTATTCAAGATGAAGAAGATTGATCACCGATTTCAAAATTTTTTGAAAGATTATTGAAGAAATTCAGAGAAATAATAACTCAAGATAAATGTGAGCATTATTTAGCTAAAATTAAAAAAAAATGAATCAAACCAATCTTATTTGGAGTCTAGTTTAATTAAGGAACTGATTTGGTCATTAGTTGTAATTTAGCATTTCTTTATATTTTTATAGTTGGTTCATTTTTTTTTTATTTTGTTAGACTAATCAAAATAATAATTGTATTACATTAATTTCTAAAATATCAAATATTTAGAACCATGCAAATAAATAAGTGGTAGAAATATTAATCTTCATATTATTTATTCCATATATCAAGATTATTAATTTTAATAAATATTATACTCATCTTATCT